GAAATAATAACAAAAAAATATATATTTCGAAAATATGTGAAGTCCGCCAATACGCAGTGGGTCCGCGTGGTGGACTATGCCCTGATACCCTCTGTGTAGAGGAGGCCTTTGCCCAGCAGTGGGACATGGCTAGGCTGTTACTTTACTTTACTTTATTCATTATCATCAAAAAAAAAAGCCGGAAATTCTTTCGACGGTTCTTCTCAGGTCAGTCAGTGGCTTTTATTTTCCGAACCGGTAATTGTAGAATTTTAAATCGGCGATGCCGTTGTTAAGCTATTGGCTTCGGCATTTTGGGTCGTGGGTTCGATTCCTACACGAGACAAGTATTTGTGTGACCCACAGATAATTTTTTCGGATTTGGGTGTTTGTTTCCCAAGGAGGGTTGACGTCAGGCAGGCCGTAAAAACATAGCCAAAGCCGCTTACAATTCACACGTGCCGATCCCACCTAGGTAGGATAAGGGCAGGAGGATAGTGATCAAACGAACTTGTGTACCTGTTAGTTATGAATAATCGCGCGTAAATTAAATGAGGTGCGTATAAATCACGCACTTTTGAGATAAGTTCAAATGAATGACGTAATTAATTACTTACGAGTGATTTAAAATATTTATAATTTTTTTATAGAACATTATTTATGTCTAGAATTTAATTTAAAAAAATGGCTACATTTAGAAAAGCCTACTGGATATAAAATTCTTGTGTCACAGTTTTAATGTTTATACTCCTCCGAAACGGCTTGATCGAGTTTGATGAAATTTTATATTCAGTAGGTATGAGAATAGATTTATAACAATTTATTTTCTTCTATCCTACAAATTACTTATATGGAAAAACAACGTTTGCCGGATGAGCTAGTTATATAATATAGATATTAGAGTTTTTTTATAAGTATAACGATAGCGAATTTGTCACACTATCCCACTTTTCCCGAATAAGAAAAGGCGTGACGCGACTCTTCGTCACTCGTTTAGATATAGAACAACGGCAAGATTAATAAAGAGACATTATTTTTAGGTGCGCCGGTGGAAAAAGGCGAATGCATGCACCGCATTGAGACCCATTAAATACCTTTTAAACAGGCTTTCGCTGTTTAAATAAAGTGGCGTGTTTAATACGCTACATAATGCGTGCGCAGTCATTAACGATGAAACACATAAAAAATTTATCGCGCGTAGCGCAAGTGACGTGAAATTTGCCGAATGAATTCTTCGTTTATCGCGATACTAATTCTTCTCAATGAGGATTCTAAATAATTCTCTAGGCAGAGTTATCCGTAACAGGGTGGTTATTTTTTTTGCCAAGCGAGCGGTTAGCCTGATGTTAAATGAATACCGCCGCCCATGGACATCTGCTACACCCGAGGGTTGCAGATGCGTTGTCAACTTTTTGATAATTGGGCTCCGGCCCCCTCACTCACCAGACGAATCGCCAAAGTATTTGTCATACTTCCACTTTACGCTGGTCTTCTGTGAGGTCGTGGTACTTACCCTGACGAGCATGCCCATTCCTGCAACAGCCGAGGCTGCTGCGTGGCCCTACCACAGTCAATGGTACAGTGAAATGGTACACTACGGGTTATCAACGTCACCTGGACGTCAACTCCATTTAAATATGTGTGTTACATTATGAGAACAATTTGCTATGAAGTATAGATAGTCTTAATAGGATCCAATTAGAATGGCTTAAATTATTGCTTTTTAATATTTTACGCCATTTACAATTGAACAACGAACTGACAATTGCCTACACACTTATCAGTTCTTGATAGAATGCTTTAAGTTTATTGACTGAACATAGGTTAAATTAATGTTTTGCTAATGAATACAATATGCTTAAAATTAAAAAATAGAAAGTCATCGATGTATGGACCCCATCGTCAATAGGAAACGATATTAAAATCGATATATCATTACGACATCGTAATTCATCACGATTAAAACGTTATATCTATTCAGTAATACAATAATAGTAACTTGCAGTGGTTAACTTGTAAACACTTGTTTGAAAACCTGAAATCCGATCGGGGCGATCCAATGACAAGAATTTTAGAAACAATTAATATCCGGAACGGTAACTTGTAATTTGAGCTCTGCATATAACTGACTTCTCGGCACCGCCGACGGGGCCGTATCATTGTTACGAGGCGCCTGAGTCTTGTAATTGTTTACCCATAAAGAGTTTACAACAGATCGAGTTGCAATATACATTTAATTGCAACATTTTTACAGATGGAATAATATAATACATCGGTGCCAAAAGATATCCTTGGAAAATACTGCCACAGATAATAAACTTCATCTCTACTAAATAAAATAATATTGTATTTATAAATTTGACTAATAACGACACAGGAGTTCAGGGTAAAACACTTAAATATTTCAACGTTATCAAAGTCATTTCCAAAGACAAATAAAATCTCCAAAAATATTCGAACGCCAAAGATATAACTGCATTATGAAGTTTAAAACCAAGTTAAGTCATTATTTGATTAATTTTAAATACAGGAACATGTTTAAGCCAAGGTTCGAGCGCCGATAACTGGCAATTTATTTTAAACATCGATACGGACAGTTGGTAACAGGACAGATAACGGTATAAGTGAGCTCCATAAATCCCCTCGACCGTAGTTTACTACGGTCACCTGATAACCTTTACCACTCGATTCTTGATAGGACGCTAGTATTCCCTATCAATCGGCACGTGGTGGTATCGTCAGCGATTCAGCGCAAAGGTTTCGTCATTGAGACTTAATTTACGCGATATTGATATCTACTACTTTTTTTTTATGTGAAAAGTAGTCAAACGAGCACGACGGTTCACCTGATGTTAAGTGAATGCCGCCGCCCATGGACATCTGCTACACCCGAGGGTTCTAGATGCGTTGACAACCTTTTTAAAATTGGGCTCCGGCCACCTCACTCACCAGACGAAACGCGAAAGTATTATACTTCCAGTTTACGCCTGAAAAGGTCGCTCAAGGAGTAGAACACGAGTCTATTAGCTATTTATGAGGTCGCTCAAGGAGTAGAACGCTATTACACGAGTATATTAGCTACTAGCTGCTGCCCGCGAATATGTCTGCGTAGAATAGGCTTAAGGCGTTACATTCAGACAGAAAGACAGATATACATATGTATATAAATTATAGCCTATGTCTTATTCTGATGTAAAAGCTTTATTATTTTAAGGTTTCATTAAAATCTATTCAGTAGTTTTTGCGTGAAAGAGTAACAAACATCCATCCATACATACAAACATTCGCCTTTATAGTATTAGTAAGGATTTCTGCGACGCTGACTGCTGTGAACGGCTACGGAACTTGGCAACGTTCAAAACAGCCTTCGACCCATACTTGATGAGAAAAACATCGATGGTGATGCTTCGAACTAGCGATTTAAGACATTTCTATCCAGTTGTGCAGACCCAGTGAACTACATGTACTCATAATGGTCTAACGGTTTTTACGGTGGTGGGGCCACGCAGCAGCCTCGGCTGTTGCACGAATGGGCAGGCCCGTCCGGGTAAGTACCACGACCTCACAGAAGACCGGCGTAAAGTGGAAGTATGACAAATACTTTCACGTTTCGTCTGGTGAGCGAGGTGGCCGGAGCCCAATTTTCAAAAGGTTGTCAACGCATCTGCAACCCTCGAGTGTAGCAGATGTCCATGGGCGGCGGTATTCACTTAACATCAGGTGAACCGTCTGCTCGTTTGACAACTTTTCGCATAAAAAAAAAAAAAAAAAAAACGAACTCTAAGGCGAAGGACAAACGTGTGAACCAACTCAAATGCGTTATGTAAGAGACCGGAATATTTTCACTCTCATACAAAATAGGTTAAAAAGCAGTATGACTCTTGCCTCTTAAGCACAATTGAGGTTATAACTATTGGACAGGAGTGGAACTTAAATACGGTCGATAAAAAAATCGGTTTGTTACAACCGTCTACATTACAAAACGGAATTATTTTTATGTCTCATTTACATTACGATACGTCAAGTTTCGATACTATTAAAAACGTACGAATTCAAACAAATCCCAATAGTGCGTTTCAATAGTCAGAAATGCATATCAACGCATAAGTTTTCCAAGGGGCATATAACCATTATAATGTATATACAAATTTGACAAAAAATTCCACATAAAATACGATGAAGCATAATTAATCCATACTAATATTATAATTGCGAAAGTAACTGTCTGTCTGTCTCGCTTTCACGCGAAAACTACTGAACCGATTTAAATGAAATTTGATACATAGATAGTCTAGCGACTGAGAAAGGACATAGGCTATTTTTAATTGGAAAAATTCACGCATTAGCTTATTTCAGCAAATTACAGTTTATTTACTTTAGCAAATTACAGTATAATAGCGTACGGACTTAAAATATAGAGGTAATTTACACACAATCCACAAAGCTTTTTAAATGTTGATCTTAACGTGTAAGAAGCGATGATATATTAATAGGTTCTCGCGATCGAACAAGATTTCGCAGTGTGGACGCCACAAAGTTACAGACTCACCAGAGTAGCTCGCAAATATTAATGCAAATTGCTACGGCCCAAGTGCCTAGCACGGAACGCACCGCACCGCCCCAACTTTTTTTAAATTGGCCAATTTAAAATCGGCCCCGGGCAATGTCCAGTCGAAACAAATCATTGGCATCAATCAACTCAAGTGTCACAATGGGGGATAACGGACTGCCGACCACAATAACGCCCGGTTTCTGAAGCCCTGGTCATCGTAGAAGTCGAATAATCAGCTGTCAAATGGCTTTTCAAATGTCATTTGAGTTGACAAAAAGATGGTTACTCTTTGAATTGATCATTGTGATCATTAGGAAGGTCATTCTGATCATCTCAGAGAGTTTAACCATCCTTTTGGCAGAAAGAACATTTGAAAAGCCATTTGACAGCTGATTAGTTGACATCTACGATGATCAGTGTTTCAGAAACCGGGCGTAAATGGCGTTATGTAACCGCAATGTGCACCTACCTTAGCACATAGGCGTCTACTTGCTCGCTCTGCGTGAAAGAAATGATCTCGCATCTGACGATCTTCAAGACGCTCTCCCATTGTTGTCTGTGGACAAAACGAAGCTAAAGTAGGAACAGATTATTCAATTACAGTCCTAAATAATTAAACGACAGCCCTAAAACATACGTCAAATCTGAGCATTCCGATAATATACCATTACCGTAATTGAGAAATCGCTTAAACTACGGTTAGCAACTTGATAACATTAAGTACTATATTTTATTATTGAACTAATACAGAACACAGATTCAATTCATCACAATTTCATTTGTTTGTTGCTCGGATTTCAGAAGGAGTTTTCGACGGGATTATGACCAAATTTTTTTATGAGTAACTGCATAATATATGATGTATAAGTCCCTGACAACTCTTTTCAGGTTGTTACCCATCCACCTCTACCATTACGGTATTTTCCAGTAAATCATTGCCCAAAAACCCGTTAAACGGGTTCCAATACCTTCCAATGTCTTTTTCACATGAAGTTAAATTTTAGTGGACTGTTTCATCAATAATAAAAATCTCATCTATATACTTCTCAATTCATTGTTAAAAATAATTAAAAAAATAATTTACTTATGTGTTTTCCTCCTACACACAAAATTTTACAAAAAAAAATGTTCAAATTAAAATCGGATGCGTTTTTCTTTTTTGTAGTTAAACATTCCAATAGGCAAGAAAAAGATCACCTAAAGGTTTCCAGTTCTAATTATAATTAAACTCGAAAATTGGCACTTAAACCCATACACAGAATTTATTTCTTTTAAGGAAGCACAGTCACGTGTTCAATTTGCCGGCGAGATTTCACGGTGCATCTGTGGCAATGGCCTACAGCCAACCGCCGCTTGACGATCCGCCGGCGACTCGAACTCAACTACGAATACAATTGTACCTAGCCGAACAGCTGACTCTAGAAGCTTCCACATCAACATCATGCCTCAAACCAACCCTTGGGACAGAAACACGTTTGTCAAATTTCCAACTTAACTCGTATTCACTGTATCGAAATAGAATTACGCTGTAATAAACGGTAAACTAATAAAGTTACGTATAAATAAATTATTATATGAGACAGGCAATCGAAAATACAGGAATAGTGGTAACAATTAGCACAGCATTAGAGCAGTAAAGACTAAGGAGGGTGTTGGACGAAATTCTTCACTTACCGAGTAATTTTCCTCAAGTCTGCGTGTTTAGCCGGCGTAAACCATATTTCTATCAGCTTTTCAACACCTTCAAAAAATTGATCGTTATTCTCACTATTAGATATTATTTCCGTTTCAGCCATGGCTAGTTTATTTCAGTTTTTATTAAAAAATCTATATTATTTACAATTTAATTCCCACTGTAACCGAGAACACAACCTGGACGCGCAAATGTTGGAAATTTACTGAAACAGCTGAGTGAAATGAAACAAAATTATTGGCAAATTGCAGGTAATAGAAGGGATGGGTCTATAGTCATCTCTTTCTTTCAGAGCGAGCGAGTCGGCAGCGGCGCGTTCAGGACAACTCGCACACTCATAACGTTTTGTAAGTCAATTTATGGGTACATTCTGATTATAGATTTTATTTATTGTGATCTATGAATAAACTGACCACTTTTTTTCCAACTCAAAAAGGGACATTGATTTGCAATGAAAATAAACATTTTAACTTTTTAATTTTCTTTATTCCGATAAGATTAAAAATTAAAAGAAACAAAGAAAAACAATAAGTTCACTATTTTTTATTAAAACAACTTTGGTATGTTTTTAAATATTTTTATATTTCTCAGAGGAACAAATTTGTTTTATTATAGAAGGTGACGATTTTAAATAAGAATAAAATTTGGCACGTTTCTTTTATGTTGACCTTTGTTATCAGCAGCACCTTCAGGACTGGAGCTGTTCAATATCACCAGCACCATTAGGGGAAACACTAAACTATGCGACACTTCGCATCTTATATCCGAAGGAGTGTCAATTTGCTCAATAATGGATATTTTGTTTGTAGGTTGACATTGAATGAACACTTGGGTTTCGGCATAACTATAGGAAAAAATTCAAAACAACAAAACTTCAAATAATGTACAAAACTATTTAGCGAACATTAAACAAAAACATAAAGAAGTCAGAATACATGCGCGTGGCTAGCCTAGTAAAATAAACAAATGCCCCTTTCCCTTTCCTCCTCACCGCGTTATTAGGTAACCTATCGCGGTTCCGCGCTGCTCATAATCATGCGATCAGCGTGGTTTTAAAATTTTGCGCGGTTTCGGAAAACGGGACAATTTTGCGTCCCGGAGATTTGTTCAGGGACAAAGCTGTCCAAAAAAAGCGACAGTCCCGTTCAAAACGGGACGTATGGTCAGTTTATCTATGAATGACAGTTTCAAATCACCTAATCAATTCAATAATGTTGCCAACTGCTGGTTTTTAAACGATAAAATGATTTTTCTTATACCTGTAATTTAACGTACATATTTACTGTTATTTTTATCGAAAAGTATTTATAACAGTATTTACGAAATATAACTAATTAATCAAATTAAAAGTTCAATATTAAAAATCTATGACTCTTATTTAAGAAATAAGTTTTGTATTTCACTATAATTATTAATCAAATAGTCAATAGTATAGGATGACATAATTTAAGTTATTCTCATTTATACAGTTATAGTCGATAACTATTTGACTTTGAGTAGTACTTAGTGATTTAGGGTATTATAAATTAATTTTCTTTAATTAGTGTATTAAGTTTTTGTTATTCACCCATAACCATCAATACTGATCTAACATGTTTTATATATGTATATATACTTTTATAACAACTTTTCAAACAATCCAAGAACCAAGAAATATTATTGTCTTATTATTGTATAGTTAAAGACTGTGATGTGAAATAAAAAAAACTTATCAATCAAATTATTTATTTGTCATGATTTTTCAAATGAAGATATTAATTTGTGTAAATATCCATTTTCAACATTTTTTATAGGTCTAAATTTAAAATTGGGAATGGGAATTGCTGGAATTAGGTCTATCTCTTTTTCATTGTCACAAAAATCCTCCAAACTTGGTTCTAGGTCTCTTTTTGTGGATGCTTTAGTAGGCCTTCTTTCCTTTTTTGTTTTTTGTGTTTCAGCATGAGCATTTAATTCCACTAAGTTCTTGTACAATTTGTCATTAAAATGAAAATTTAATTTCCTAGTCATCTAGAAAGAAAAGGAATAATTATTGCTTTAAAAAACTTATCATTATCGGGCATCTTATCTAATTCAATTTAATTGAAATTCAAAGATTTATTAGTTCACAATCCAAGAAGTATGAATTATCAAAATATTTTTAAAACTTAACATGAGGTGTTAGCATATAAACACACAAAGACAAAATAAACAACATAGATAATCTGCGCTCTCATTGACAATATTATGTATGAAAGTTCAGCTATGTAAAAATAAAATTAGTTTTTTATGAATAGTCTTCAAAAAGATACAGAGTATATAAACCAAAAATACAAATTCTTTAGTATAAAACTAATGTTGTTGCTACAATGTCTACCAAAAACCTAAGCTTGAAGTACGGGGTAAATTTTTAAATTATTTTTGGCTACAGCAGGACTGTGTGACCATTGCATAGCAACATCTTATACTGTGCACAAAATGGGAAGGCTCATCTGGGGAAGTACCAGGGCCTCACAGAAGACCGGCGTGAAATGAAAGTATTATACTTTCGCGTCAATAGTAAGAATCTGGCGTAGTAAGAATCTGGTGAGTGATGTAACGGAGACCCACTTTTTTAAAGGTTATCTACGCATCTACAAAGCCCTAAGGTGTGCTAGATGTTCATGGGCGACGGTAATCACTTAACATGAGGTTAACCGTCTGCTCACTTGACAACTTTACACATAAAAAAATTATATATATTTACTTTAGAACTTATTTCATCTCTATCAATATTTTGATCCTGTATTTCTAGAGGTGCCGGCAAGTTTTTAGTAGCATCTGTTAAATAATGGGCGAAAACCTCACTGGAACACAAAGTTGGATTACTCAGTACATCATTTTTCAAATTACTTTTGAGGAGTACGTTCTTTTTATGTCCTTTATTGGATGTTGCAGTTTCTGAATTTTGGATAATATCTCGGTGATTTAATACATTTTTTTGCTCGTAATTCCTAATAAGAGTTTTTTTAACTTTAGGGTCCGTTCCAGGCTTATTCATGATTATTACCGTGGTCCCGAAACAAATAAAAAGACATTTTAGCTGGTACTGGTACGAAAATAAATAACAAATTCAAAATGTTGACGTTAACGACGGGTTTTTTGTACCTGTGACAACAGTCCCAAACGTTCTTCCATAAATTTTATTATAATGTAAAAAGAATATTAATCATTTCAATTAGATATGTATATTATTTTTAAATACTCCGTTAAGTTGTGAAATTTCTTACAACTTACTAATGTGTTAAATTTTTTTTTGAGAGGAAAGATGATCCGTGGCTCAGTCAACGGCTCCAATCGTAAAGCACACAAGATTACATCCATAATTAAATAACTCAAAAGCCACACCTGGAACCGACGCTGTCTCTAATAAGGAAAGTAAGACACTTCCCGCCGGTGTTACTTGCCTTCTGGCGATATATAACGTTTCGCGGCAGGTGCTCCTTCCTCGACACTTGAAAGGAAGTATATATCATTCATCAGCATCTCTAAGCCGAAAAAACCCAGACACTTAGTACCAAGTTACCAGCTCATTAGACTTCTCTCCACTATGAAAAAAAAATCGAATAAAAAATACGAAAAAATCTGGGTTTAAAAAGTGAGTTCAATAATTGAGTGAGTTCAAAAACACTGCCTCACTTAGCTCATTCTCTCTAATCGTCAATATCATAACTCTCTGAAATACAGTCGCATAGGGCTATTTCTAATCGTCGTCGAGAAGGTGTATGACAAAGTCTAGTATGACAGCTTAATTAATAAGCTAAGCTAGGAATGCAGGTAAGAATCGTTAAAATCATACGAGATACTTTTTTCCACCATTGAGTTCCCCAAGAATCGGTACTTTCCCTGACCCGCGATTTTCTAGGACCGGTCTAGATACGTTGATAAATCAGGAGTAAACGCGACCTCACGACAAAACTCGGTTTATTATTTTACAAAGTGACGAATCCAGATCAACCCAGCGAAAAGTAAGGTTTAACTGCCAATCGGAATATCCACAAAAGAAAAACTTCCGCTGGTTAAATTAATCGGCCAACATATACATATAAACTCTAAACCTTATTACTTTGATTCTAATATATTTAACTATTTCTGAATTTGAATATAAGGACAAGCAGCACTAGTGGTTATATCACCGTCCGGGAACTCATCCGAAAAGCAAGGGACCGCTGCTCAGGGTTAGATTTAGGTGTGGTAAAAAAATAGTACAAAAAATTTAAAAGGATTAAAAAATACCAAAATTTTAAAAAAATTAATCGTGCTATTAGACAATTATCAATTCTATTAACTACTTCATTTAGTGCAAAGTGACTGTTTAAGAAAACGGATTATTGAAAAAAGTCCAATTGTTGTCAAAAACTCCAAGGTATTGAAAAAAGTGATTACAACCCATTATATTGGTCATATAAGTAAAGTAATGAAATTATAGTACGTTTTCGTACTATCCTTAGATATGGATAGTATATAGTACGAAGCATGAAATTATAGTACAAATGCTTCCTCTCAACTGGGATAAATATCGCCACGTTCAAAGCATCTTACCCTGTGGCTTATCCCTCTCAACTGGGATGCATATCGCCACGTTCAGAACACCTTACTCTGTGGCTTATCCCTCTCAACTGGGATGCATATCGCCACTTTCAGAACACCTTACCCTGTGGCTTATCCCTCTCAACTGGGATGCATATCGCCACTTTCAGAACACCTTAACCTGTGGCTTATTCCTCTCAACTGGGATGCATATCGCCACGTTCAGACCACCTTACTCTGTGGCTTATCCCTCTCAACTGGGATGTATATCGCCACTTTCCAGTTTTCAATTATTTATTAAACTTGATAGCTTTACCGATTAGACCGTGTATTGCTACGTTGTCTAAGTACCAGTGATGTTGTTCACAACGGATATCTATCACCAGTTCATGCCTTAACATCTTCCAAGTACGAAAATGCTCGGTAGCTTAACCGGGTAAACCAGTTGAGTATCGCTATTTTACATTTCTCAAATGTGTTAAGTAATTAATTAACTGGAAGATACTGACCAAAACTTTCGTTACATTTAACCAAAAGATTTTATCACCATTACGTATAGGTTAAAAACACTGTTTTATTTTACGAGGCTAAAACACTGTTTGAACAGCCAATCGCTAGTTTTCGTATCCCACTTCTGATATAAGACTTCAAACGTTATTACTTTGATTCTAATATATTTAACCATTTCTGAACTTGAATATTAATAACTATTATAACGACAAGCAGCGTGGTTCTACATATTCCATGGCAAAGTAAGTCCTAGTAGTATATACACGTAACGCGAAATAAAAAACTCTCACATTATAACAAGACATTAGTAAACAATAATCGTGAATCTTGTAAAATGACTTTAAGACGCAAAGTCCATACAAAACATTTATACGTTCAAATTAAACATGTCTGTTTAGCACATAACCCTACCCGATACTTGAAACCGTTTCAAGTGATCTAAAAATGAATTATTTGTTGTGGAACCAGCACCCCTTTATATATCCGACAGGCCGAATTGAAACCAGTTCTCGGTCCAGCATACTTTATTTTAGACAAATAAACAGCTATTTAAGTCCGTTGGTATAAGCTTTCGGTATCCATACTGGATCCCTGGAACCATGTATTCGATAGGATGCCGTCTTACGAACGTTTTAGACGATTCTGATGGTGAATTAACACGCGCGTTAAACAATTTGATTCCACCGTGGTCGTCCGGTAACGCATCTCCCCAAGAAAACGGCGATAAGATCCGAATAGATCAATGACCAACAGTGCCACCGCTTTTAGTCCGGCAAACACCGCATTCACTTTCAAAAATGCAGGCACAGCGTGTTTGCCAGGCGACGCTAGGTCCCTGATACGCACCGGAAGGAGGGGCGTCCCGTGGACTCGCCCTCCACTTATCGGCCGATAGTGTTAGTGTTACTCGACGATGTGGGGAAGCTCTTTGAAAGAGTTGTCAGTGCCCGCATCGTCGAGCATCTGGAGAACGTTGGGCCGAATCTGGCGGAGAGGCAGTTCAGGTTCCGCAAGGGTCGGTCAACCATCCACGCGGTTTTGCAAGTTAGGTCTCTCGCGCAGGAAGCAGTTTCCCAGGGCGAAGTTGTCTTGGCGGTGTCTCTTGACATCGCCAACGCTTTTAACACTCTGCCCTGGGCTTGCATTAGAGAGGCGCTCCGGTTCCATGGAGTGCCTCTCTACCTGCGCCATCGAGGCCTACTTGTCACATCGCCGTGTTGAGTTTCCGTGCCAAGACGGGCATCGAACCATCGCGGTGACGTGCGGCGTTCCACAGGGGTCAGTGTTAGGGCCACTCCTGTGGAATATTGGCTATGACTGGGTGCTACGTGGCGCCTATCTCAGGGGTGTCGAGGTGATTTGTTACGCCGATGACACCCTTGTGACCACCCATGGCACAAACTTTCGCCGGGCCACTATTCTCGCTACTGCGGGAGTGGCTCAGGTGGTAGGACGCATTCGGCGACTAGGGCTAGAGGTGGCGCAAAATCCGAGGCTCTATGTTTTTATGGGCCTCGGAACGCGCCACCTGTGGATGTTCACATTATTGTGTGTGGGGTCCGTGTCGACATAACACCCACCATGAGGTACCTCAGCCTAGTTCTAGATCGCCGATGGGATTTCCGGGCCCACTTCGAGCGTCTGGCTCCCAAAGTGGCGAAAGCAGCGGCAGCTCTCGGTAGGCTGCTCCCGAATGTTGACGGCCCCAACGACTCCTGCCGTCGCCTTTACGCCGGAGTCGTGCGGTCCATAGCTCTGTACGGTGCTCCCGTTTGGGCCGACACCCTGAAGCGCCGGACCCAAGCGCTTTTGCGCAAACCACAGAGGGTGTTGGCTATTCGGGCCATACGGGGCTACCGGACAATCTCCGGTGAGTCGGCTTGCCTGTTGGCCGGCTTTCTGCCCTGGGATCTGGAAGCTAAGATCCTCGCGTCATTGCACTCCTAGCGCGAGGTTGCAAAAGCCCAGGGCCATATGCCGGCCCGGAGGAGTTGGGGGAGCGCAGGGATCGCCTGCGCTCAAACGCCATCGGGGAGTGGGAGCAAAGGCTGGAGCACCCCAGTGCCGGCCTAAGAACCGTAGAGGCCATACGTCCTGTCCTCAGGAAGTGGCTGGACAGGCGACAAGCCACCCTGACCTACCGCGCGACGCAGATCCTCTCGGGACATGGTTGTTTCGGGAGATACCTGTTTCGCGTGGCGAGGAGGGAGCCCACAGCGGAATGTCACCACTGTGGCGTATGTCCCGAGGAGACGGCCCAACACGCACTGGAGGAGTGCTCAGCCTGGACGGAGCAGTGCCGAGAGCTATGCGCTATCGTGGGGCACGACCTTTCGCTGCCAGCCGTGGTTCGCGCTATGGTTGACAGCGAGAGAGCGTGGGGTGCTGTCCTCGCATATTGCGAGGACGTTATCACCCGGAAGGAGGCCGCGGAGAGAGAAAGGAAGCCAACTGCCACCCTGGAAATCCGCCGGAGACCAGGGCGCAGGAGGCTGGCCTACGCGTGCAACCTTTCCCCCTGATAGCGAGACCCTGAGCGGCAGACATGGGGGTGTCTGTCGCTCAATATGGGGCTCGAGACGTGTGCTGTGCCAATTGCACGCGGAAGATTGCGTCTACGTGTTCCCGTGTCCCCGGCCGATGCGACAGAGAGGTGCAACGTGGGTTTTTTAGTGGGTACCCGTTTCTCACCGGGACTCCCACATACCCCTGCCACTCCCCCGATCCAGTGGCAGGGGATCCATAAAGGATTTTTCCCACGAAAAAAAAAAAAAAAAAAAAAAGGTCCCTGATACGCAGCCTACACACGATATGTCCGTGTGCCAGATCGCTTTTGAATCGCCATCGACGTGTTGTTATTCTTATACAATAGCGAGTCGTTTACATAATGAATCACGAAAATTTAAAGTTTCTAAGATTAATGTTCTTCATGAATTTAATATTTTCGTAAATGTTGTTCTTAAATAATTTTATTTTCATTAACTTATTTGTGTTTGTATTTTAATTTTTCTAAACGCTATAATCAATTCAAGATTCAATCGCAATTTTAATCTTGATACTTCCTCTGGACAGGTTTCACCATCGATTGCGGTGCAATCCGAGGTTCAAACTAGGGATGAGGCGTATATACTGGAACAGGTATAAATACCCAGTATGAACATACCAGTACGCACACCGGGTATGTACGGCAGAGGCCCGTTCCATACCCGATAGGTATGGCTAGGTATGGCCGCCTCGTCCGGTGGCGGTATATAACGCTCGCGACAACCCGCCGGCCAAATAGGTACGAAGTTCCCCGAACGCTTACGGCGGCTCTTCCTGATCATGCCCGAATTGAAACGTATGATTTAGGCATTTTATACCAAATAATTCCTTGAGATAAATTTATTCTTTATTTCTATGACCATAAGTTAAATAAATAATTGCGTAATAAGGTTAAACAGTAATATTTATTTTGAATTACTTTTTTTTGATAATAGGGTTCTTTACGTAAGTAAAGATGGAGCTTATTTTAGACTGATTAAATCTCAATTTAAAAAAACTGATTGCTAAAAAACATCTAAATGTTCCAATTCCAACCAAAAAAAGGTTCAATTCCATACCGGGTCTCCAAAAGGAGGCCTGAACATAACTAATACCTATAGGTATTTTGATACTGGGCCGGGTATAGAATGTTGCAGGTATATCCATGCCTAGTCGTGGTTGCCAAGTATTTATGAGTCGAATTGTCATCTTTCGTTAACAGTCGTCGTTGTGCAAAAGTCGTCTTTCTGCGGACCCTTTCTACGAAGTTAACCATCAAGACCGGCAGGGTAACCATAAGTTAGACTAAAAAAATGTAATTACCGTAATAAAAACAGCTGTTGGTCCCGATTCCGATTCATGATTTGTGGCTAATGTCAAACTGTCATCTGTCATTGTTGAATGTTGACTCAGTTGCCTTCGTATGCTATCTTAATATCAGTTAATTTGTTTTTAACATACATTTAGTTATTAGTACGTATATTTATAATTTGACTGAATAATAATGAGTAAAAAATGCATGGAGTTTTTTGTAAGTGTCAAAAGGTTTTTTTATTAAATTTTTGAGTTATTTCGTTACACATGCTTAAGTTTCTTAAGATTTGAGCTTAAATGTTTTTAGAACCCTGAAAATTTGCCAGTGGAAAAGCTGACGCTGTCAGTTTCGAATGCAGGGGTAGTTCAAAATATAAAGGCTCTGGTAAGAATCTAATACTTACCCGTTACATTTACGTAAATGTTTTTATTCCTTTTTAAATAAATTTGTAGACAAATCATCTGTACAAAATGAAATAATGTCATAGTTATAAGCAATATGTTATGCTCTAAAATAACCTACTAATTTTAAATATTGCACAATGAAATTCCATTTTATATAATTTATTTGTGTTTCTAATGAAATATGTTTCTAATTTTCATTAAAGTGTAATTGTTTATAATCACATTTTATTAATATGTGATACGAAATATTTTCGTATATATTTGTTGAATATTGTAGGCTATTTAACTAGCCTTTACATTTCAGATCGGCATTTTATATAGCTTTCAATATTGCTAGTTTATCATCAACCTTTGTCTTATAACAAAATATTTATGTCATACAGGATGTATATTGGGTTGAAAAAAGACAATGGTTATTATATGAGCGCCCACCAGAAAGCAACAATATGATACTTGGAGCTACTGATGCATGGAAAATGAAAATGAAGGTTTACTTAGAAGACCTGAAATGGCTCCTTGGTTTAAAACACCATAGGTAGGTAGAAAATTCAAATTTCTCCCTCTGTATGGTTTTTTTCCCATTAGCACATGCATTTAGACCTAACAAAATTTTTTATTTGGTAGAGAAAAATCATTAATGAAATAATTAACAAGTTTAAACAAATAAAATAAATGTTTTTCCGTAATAGAAATAGTGTTCCAGTTATTTAGATTTTAAACTGAGTTTATGTCATACAATAATTTGTGTCTTTTAAGATTTTGGAGCACAGTTTTGTATGATACTAACTGTATGGATGCTTTAGTATCTTTCTTACAAGAAGCAAGTCCTCCATACATGCCGCCACATGAATGTAAAGAGGCACAAAGACTATATGAGCAAATCAGAAGACTTATACTTATAATTTTCAGTAGGCTTATAACAAACAAAGAAAGTAAGGTATGTGTTTATATTTATACATTCTTTTATCGTTGTTGATGGAATATATAATATATTCTCATAAATATCATTATTCAATATAGGCTTAAGTTAAGCTCTTATTGAATTTAAAAAAACCACCACTATTATACATTATGTTGCAATAATGTACAATGTAATGTATATCACCAAACTACCAGATACGCTGATGCATGTTTATAATTTATTATTTAATGTTGTATTTCTGACAATTAATTTTACTTTAAGTTATTATGACAAAATGTTTAATTAATGATATGAATATAAGTCTAGTGTTAAAGTCAGAAGATGTCTTCCCAATTGAAGGTGTCAGCCAGATTGGCATAGTAATAATGAAAGGAGTTGTAAATATCATGATGCGCAAGCTTCTGAGAAGGATATGGTCTTTACATATTTAAAAATACTGCCATTGAACTTTGCAGTCGCATTGGATGAGCAAGGAGTACATGGGCTCGCTGCTGTACGACCGTTTCATCTTTACCGTACCTGTGGTGTGGGACCTCTGTCTGGTATACGGTGTGGACAACTCCAGCCACTTGGCGCGTCTCCTGGACGGCGTGTTCTCTCTGCAGCCGCGGTACTTAGCGGACACGGCGGCTGCCCTCGCCTTCGTCAAAGAGGTAATGACAGATACAATCCTGAATACCTGGTCTATTTGTCTTTTGAACCAACCTTTTTGATCTTGAAAGTTTTTTATGGTCGGCGAAAGTGCCACGAAGCAGCTCCTGTTTTGTCGAATGTGTCGCATGATCTCTGTTACATGACTTGTCAATAGCTAGCGTGAAGTATTAATTAATTACTGTGCTTTTCTCAGTGGATCCTCCAGGTAACATTTGCATAGCACTAGCGCTCAGCATCAGGTGAACCACTTGTACGTTCGACCTGATAGTAAGCAATAACGAGGTATTTATTGGTTAACTCACTAGCTCAGTTAGGATTTTAAAAAATTGAAAAGATCTGTAGTTCGGTCTCATTGAAGAAAAATATCTCTTTGAATCTCACAAATGATGTATCATTTGCTTCAGCAACAGCTAATTGAATAGCTCTCGCGCCTTGAATTGGTTATGTTGCTCGCCCAAGTATACACATAACAATAATCTCACAAGCAGACCGGCAGATTGAAGTAAGAGTATTTCTACTTTTGCACTCCATCCCATGGATGAGATAGCAGAAGGTTATGTTTAAGTGATTGGTAACTTTTAAGTAAGTAAGGTAAGCCCAATTTTGAAAAGGTTGTCAACGCATCTGTAACCCTCGGGTGTGGCAGATGTCCATGGGCGGCGGTATTCACTTAACATCAGGTGAACCGTCTGCGTGTTTGACAACTTTTCGCATAAAAGAAAAAAAAATAAAAAAAACGCATCATCTTTAGTGTGGTTCTGAGTGTACTGATGCATACTAAAGAAAAGAAAAGAGTTGTCTAAATGTTAAATTCATACTGTTAAATTCAGTTTCCTTGGCAAATTTCCAGGCCTTCAAATTCATAACGCTACAAGTGAACAAAGACTACGATAGTGAGGAGCCTCCAAATCTCCCGGAAACCTTCAAGGGTTTCGGCGAGATCAAAAGGCCCGCGGAGAGCCGTGGTCCAGACAGCCTCACATTCGAAGTGCTTCGCGATCTGATCGTACACCTGTTGGATACGGCGATGACACTGAGGGTATTCATAGAGGTCTACCCCAAAGCCGTTGATATCTTCAGGAAAACGAGTTTTGTTCTAAGGTGAGTAGGGTATGTACTGGTTTGTAGGTCAAACAAAATCATATCAAGTCACCTGACTGCAATTTATGAATGAATGAATGAATGAAATATACTTTATTGTACACAACCAACGGATATTGAAGAATCAACTAAAATAATACAAAACTGTACAATAGGCGGCCTTATCACTAGGAAGCGATTTCTTCCAGGCAACCTATTTATCAGATTTATATTTTATTATTGTTTGTCGGTGTATTTATTGGGTATGGATTCGATTCCCACAGATATAATTATAGTCTAAGCTATAAAATTCTATTTCAGTCTTCCGCTATTGTCAAATTTAAACATAACTAAGGCTTGCCTACCCGGTGCGTCAGTATAGTATATCCTTTCAGTATAGTCCAGCTGTACGAGTACGGCATTCCGAAGTTCTACGAGAAGCTGGAGGAGTTCGGCGATAAGCTGGGCGGCGGGAAGGTGACAGAAGTCGTCACCCACGTGGACCTTGTCAGATCGGAGCTCATCGACATCCTACGAGAGATATTGGCTATATACAAGAATGCCATATTCAGCGGGGAGTAAGTTTTTACACCTTGACATTCATGCTGTTTTATAATGTGTTTAGTGCTAAATATTATTAATGTTGCTGTGTATGATTTTATATATTAAATCATTATTTTTAACCCAAATTAATATGATGGTCCATAATTTTTTTTTTGTTTTAATGATGTAATTATTTTTAAATTTTGATTGTTGATGTAGGTATATGAAACTTCAATAGATTTATATGCATAAATTTAACCATTTTAAAACGTTTGAACATTGCAAATTGTTTAAGGTTTCTCTATCGAGCTAATTGAGTTAAAAACATTTTAACTAATTTATATGTTAAATTCTATTAAGTCGTTTTTCATATGATGCAGTTCACCCGGCCCGTCGTTCACCATACGTTGAAAACTCCGTTAAATCCGTTAAACCTTTCCCTAAAACAGCAGTTCAGTCAGAAACGAATTGTCATTCATATTCGATAAGAGTAGTGATAGCTAAGAGCAATGATAGCTCAGTGTCCGCTCAGTGGAACATATATAGCCTTTACTTAAGAGCCGTGATAGCTCAGTGTCCGGGCGCTCGCCTTTAATTCAATATACTCGAGCAACCCGAGTTCGATCCCCGGTGCCGGCACCAATTAAATTTTTAATCTTAAGTGCTGACTTATCACGAGCTCTACGGTGAAGGAAAACGTCGTGTGGAAACCTGCATATTTTCGAAATAAAAACGAAAAAAAATATTTCGAAAGTATGTTACGTCCGCCAATCCGCAGTGGGCCCAATATAGTGAGAAGGCATCTCCATGGCAGATTGAGTGACATTGGGTCATTTTAAAGGGAAACGGTGTTACTTTACTATTTTACTTTATTTATTCCGTACTTTTATTTTAATGATTTAATTAAAATAATCGTTAACAAACACATTTCACTAGGGAGCCAAGCTGCGAGCAAGCGTTACAAATAATTTTATCTGAAACATTTAATTGATTATTCGATTGATATTATTTGATTAACACTAAATTTTGTTTGTACCTTTAGGGGTAATGTGGCGGCACACGTGGAGGATTTCCTGGCGGTGATGATGGACGCTCTCGCCGAGAAACTTCTGATCAGGGACTACCATCTCTGCTACCCCGTCAACGAGGATCTGGAGATGTTGCGGCAGGCGTACCCAGACATGTATCCTTTGCGACTCAGACCTCTTTATGGGTCACTTCACACAAGTTTAATCAAAGTAGATATTTGTTTTCATTTGGTAAAAACACAGAGTACACCGCATTTAATATTGCTCCTTTTGGAAAACCAAGTAAGTTTCCTTTGATATATTTTTCACACGGAAAAAAAACTATATTGAATAATTAAATATATCATAAGTACTTGATATTCACAATCACAAGAAGTGACATGTTATAAAAAAATCTATAAATTAAAAATAATTATAAATTATAATAAGTAAAGATACAAAACTATTAATTATATTAATTGTCACTTTAGTCTCTATTGATGGTTAAAAATTATATATCGTTCAGGATTTCAGGGAAGGACCGGCTACATGACCTGCAGAATTTCTGCAGCCATCATTTGTATCGCTTCCGACTATCGTCTGCATCGCTATTTTATCAATAAATGCTTTAGCACTATCACAGAGACACGGTGAAGACGGATTTCATCCTGCAAGCGATCTACTCCAATCTGGATGAGCCTTTGCCCGAAGAGGCGCTGGGGAATCCCCACGGCGTGTTGACCAACGGCCACCTTCCGGTCATAAACAGCGCCGGCCCGAGCGGGGCCATAGACAACGCCGCTTCTGCTGCCATAGACACGACCGCTTCCTCTGCCACAGACAACGAAATCCCGCTGCAGGTGAAGGAGGAGTCGCTGATCAGCGAAGTGAAGGACATCCTGCCGCATCTAGGCGACGGTTTCATCTTGAAATGCCTGCAGCATTACGGCTTCAATTCCGAACGGGTCATTAATAGTCTATTGGAGGGGAATCTGGCGGAGCCTTTGAGAGGTATACGTCAGGTTAACTTTTGCACTTGTTCGTTTATTATTTAGGTGGTAACTGGTAGGCGAGCAGGTGGTTCACCTGATGTTAGGTGATTACCACACCTCTGCTATCAACGCCCTCGGGATAGCAGGTCTGAGGCCAACACTTAAAAGAACCCAAAATTATGTACGTCACTCACCAGATGAAATGCAAGTATACGTCCACTTCAACGTCTTCTATAAGGCACATAAAGACCACAGCAAAAGTTGCCGCGTGACCCTAACACAATAAAAATATAATTATGTCTCGTGGCAGCTTATCGTCCAAAAGGTTGGACTCTGCTTTTAAATCTTAGAGGCGGCCTACTCTGTCTGCCATCTCTTAAGAACTTGCGCTATTGTTATAGGCATCGAATTCGGGAATGATATAACTGTCTTACTTGATGTACCGTCTGTTCAATTTTCGCGTCCTCACACTAAAAAAAAAATTGGCAAGTGAACTAAAAAAAGGCTCTGACACATATTTTTTAAACATCTTTTTTTTGTGTCCCGTGTTGTGTGTACAATAAATATATAAATAAATAAAATAAATATTTGTTCAACTGCGTATTGAACACCCGAACCCCCACGCATCGTCCCCTTCGCCCGCAGGCGTCGACCAGACCCTGCCCATAATCCCCGAGGACCGCGTAGACCAGAAGTTCCTGGAGACGGGCGTGCAGAGGCTGAACGTGTTCGACGGCGACGAGTTCGACATAATGACTCGAGACGACGTCGACGTCAGCCGGATACACGTGGGAAAGAAACGGCGCGAGTACAGGGACCTGCGCGACATGCTCGACGACAAGGCGGAGGTGAGGAGCCGCGCGGACATCTACAGCAAGTATAAGTGAGTTTATTTTTTTTTTTTTTTTTCATGTGATAAAGTGGCAAACGAGCTGGCCGATATTTGCGACACCCGTGGTCCCTGGAGACGGGCGATGGAACTCGTGGGGTAGCAGATGCGTTGCCACCTTTTTAATAAAGGGGCCCCGGCTACCTCACTCGCCAGACGAAACGCAGAAGTGTAATCTACTCGCCATCGTGGACGAAACGCAGTTTCGTGGTCCTAACACGTGTAGACTGCCATCCCATCCGTAAGTCGCGATGCAGCCTTTGATGGTAAGCGCGCTAGCTAGTAAAAACCTTATATATGGAAATATGCAACAGAGAGGCAGATCACAATAGATAGTCAACCGCCTGTTTAGTGAGAATTAGGTGTATTTACATGTAATTAAATTAGGCTCCCTTCTATCAAGACCGTTCAATGAACTCTGTACCTTTTATTGTATAAGACAAGTTTATTAGTCCATTTTGATCGAGAAAACAACACATAAACGATATATCTATTAAAATAAATAAATTTGTTTATGCTCTTAAACAAATCAAAAATATTACAAACTTGAAAACGGCTATCTTGTCCTACCGCGCATATGTTGAGTCGATACTTCGCTATGGAATCGTAATATGGGGTAATAGCACTGAACAAAAAAGAGCATTTATAGCGCAAAAGAAATGTATCAGAGCGATATATGGACTTAATGTTACTGACTCATGTCAGCCGATTTATAAAAAACTTAGATTGTTGACTCTACCATCCCTTAAAGGCCCATTTACACGATGCCATTTTCTTGAACATACAAGAGCAATAATTGAATGCAATAAATTGCGCGCAATAATTGTTTAGACCATTTCTTGTTTAGACCATGCAACTCATTTATTGCTTCAATTTAATTGTATACAACAGGCAAGAAACTGGCACCATGTAAATGGGCCTTTATATATATGAAGTAGGCATGTTTGTTTGGAAGCACAAGAAATTATTTAACACAGCGGATGATATACATATTCGGAACCGCCGGGACCCATACAGACTTGTACTGAGTGATAATCCTAAATTGAGAAAATATAATAGAAACTGTCTCTTTACGTGTGTGCAGATATACAACAAGATACCTAAGGAACTTAAAATATTAAATACTAGGCTATTTAAAATAAAATTTTATAATTGGTTAATCGAGAATAGTTTCTACAATGTTAATGATTTTATGTCCAAGAAATCTTAAATATTGCAAATTTTAAATTATTTTTATTTTTTTTATATTTGCATGCTTCGTATTGTCGTGGCAAAACATGTTGTACTATACCTGTTTGTAACATCTCTATACCATGTTTTATGCAAATAAACGTTATTATTATTATTATTATTATAAAAAACTGTATTTGCTTTATTAATGTGTATTTTACTTTAGAAGCCCGTAGATTGCACCTCAGTGCGCAATCTTCTAACGCTAGCTTATTTTATGGCACTACATACAAAATAACGTTATTGTTAAATCCAACCAAATAATTCGAAGTCTCTACAGCGTTTATTTGGTACATCGTGTAATAATATTGATGTTGCAACCGAAATCGGCCAGCATTTAATTAATAAAGCTAAGAGCTGATTTTTCGCGCACGTGTTTATCCGTTTTTGATGTCCGCCATTTGCGAGTGCGGCAGCCCATTGAAGGAGCCCGTCACGCCCTCAGTTTGGTGTGCGACGAGGTGTCCATGTACTCGGACGAGTACGACGACACTTACGACGGGGAGGAGGCGGGGGCGCGGGACGCCGCCGCCCCGGACGACGTGCGCCCCTTCGTCACGCCGCGCGTGCTCGCCGCCAGGCAGACTCAGGCACGCCCATTCGCCTATAACACGCTCATCTTCCTCCCATCATACGCCCATCTACAAATAACACGCCCATCTTTTAATATTATGCTCATTTACCAATAACACGCTCTTTCTACAATAACACATGCATCTTCCTATAACACGATCATCCTCCAACAATACACCAATCTGCGAATAACATCTTTTAATATTCTGCATCTTTTAATATCATGCCCATTTACAAATAATACGCTCTTCTTTTAATAACACATTCATCTTCCGATAACACGTTCATCCTCCAATAATACGCCCATCTAAAAATAACGCGCCCATCTTTTAATATCATGCTCATTTACCAATAACACGCTCTTTCTACAATAACACATGCATCTTCCTATAACACGATCATCCTCCAACAATACACCAATCTCCGAATAACATCAATCTTTAATATTCGCTCATATTTTAATATCATCCCATTTAAAAATCAATACGCTCTTCTTTTAATAACACATTCATCTTCCGATAACACGTTCATCCTCCAATAATACGCCCATCTCAAAATAACGCGCCCATCTTTTTATGTCATATCCATTTACAAATAATTCGCTCTTCTTTCAATAACACCTCCGTCTACCAATAACACGCACATCTTCCAACAATACGCCCATCTCCAAATAACACATCAATCTTTCGGCAATACGCTCATATTCAAATAACACACACATCACCAAATAAAAGGATCAACAACCAATAAAACTTAATTAACACGCCCAACTATGTACCAATAACACCTTCATCATCAATAACACACCGGAGCTTGATATTCAAACATGCCTATTTTCTAAGAGACGCCCATCTTTCAAATACTTTCATTATTCCAATAGCACGCCATCCTCCAAAACTACGCGCATCCACCAATAATAAGTGCATCTGCAAAGAACATTCTCAATAACACCATTATCGTCGCGTGATACACTCTTCCCACCTCATGATCATTTACGCCAATGACCATCCCACCGTACGCCTTCGCGCTGAACACCTTACCATACAATCACAGGCTCATGTCACAACTAAGGTTTTTCCAAATCACAAGCTCATGTACGGTTCTCCATGCTCAAATACAGCTTCTCCATTTTAGTCTGAGGAGTCAGAGGAAGAGGAAGACACGAAACAGGTCCAGGAGTTGGGAGCGAAAACGACCGCGAGCAGAGACAGGATGGACTTCTGCATAAACCCAGAAGAGATGCGCGCGAGGAGAGAGGCCAACTTCCAAGCGAGGAGAGGCAAAGGATTCAGACCGCCGCCACCTCGGTAAGGGGAAATGTGAAAAATAGTCTAAATTAGATTCGTTGCGAATGTCATTAAAACAATTTTCGTATAAGATACATCAGGATTAGACGTTTGGACGAATAACTAGTGTTGCTTCTAAGATATTTGAAAAAAAAAAATTATCTATTGCATTATATTATCGAAATAAACTGGAAAATTAATTTTCAACTTATTATTTATTATTCTATAGGTGCTAAGAACAGCACAATAAATTTTGACGCTCGTATAGACCAAAAACATGCGATACTTATGGATCTATAACATATCATGTTGCATGAGTACAACCATTTTTTTACAAAGTTTACACATTTTTTAAGTGTTATTATTATAATTTTTTGGGGATATTTATTTGTTTTCTCGTCTGGTTGGGTCTTTAAATAAAAATAAACATATAGATATACAGGATGATTTTATAGACGACGGTGTGCTTCTTAAGGTGTCCGTAATTTTTTCAAAAATTATGGACACCTTAAGAAATTGCCGCCTTACCGTCTAAATACAATAACCTATTGACGAGCACTCAAACTTTTCGCTGAACGCATAATTACTAACCCGGTTATCAATAGTGTGACCACTCTTAACGGGATATACAAAAAATGTTTGAATTGATATTTTTCAGGTTATTTCTTGTCAAAATAATATATTGATTTTTTTTAAATTGTGGAACGCTCAATTAACATTATTTCAAAGTACGTGCTTCGTCCAAAAAATCACCCTCTATATTATTATTATTATTATTGTATTAATACATTAATTTGTGTTGAACCCAAATTAACGAAGCGGCCCATAGTTACTAGACTACACTCTCAAAATATTTTTTTTCTCTAATGCAGCAACACTGACGTCGCCGGCAAGCCAAAAGGCCAGGGTCAGGACAAGGAAGTGCTGGTGAACAGGGACAAGAAGGAGAAGCACAAATCCTCGCGCGGCAACCACAACAGGCGGCAGGGGGCCCAGTGGAAGAGGAGCCAGGGCATGATGCCCTCGTAGGGCAAGTTGCCAGGGCATGGACCCTTGGGGGGGAGGGGGCATATGCGCATCGACACCATCTTCTGATAATAAATAAAACACAAGATTAACATCTGAATATGAACGCCTCTTCTATTACTATGCCGTGAAAGAAAACCAATACTTGAAGCGGTTCTTTAGTACCCTTGAGGGGGGGAGGGGGGTTGATGCGCAGCGACAACACCTGGTAATAAATGAAAAAAGACGAACATCTGATCATGAATGAATGCCTCTGCCGTGGACGAAAACGAATTCTAGAAGCGAGTTTGTAATAGACTTTGTAATCAGTGCTGTTTAAGCGATTCGAAATATGTCCGTTTCTCGAATGGAAACGCTTTATTTCTTTGAAAAACGCGTACACAGAGGGATTTTGAACAGTGGATAACTGGAAAGTTATAAATATTTACCTTGCAAAGTTTCCGTGGATGGTGTCGATTGTATTATTTATTTAGAAATTAATATATTTATAGTGTTTCCATTTTTTTTTTCTTGTACAAAATTGTTTTTCTGTGAGATACATAAGTTCGTTAAAAACAAAGATATCTATATATAACGCAGTAGTGACCTGGCAAAGAAGACTAGTGTCAAAGGTGATGTCACTGAACTCCTGCTAAACGGCTGGACCGATTTTAATGAAATTTTTAGTGCGTCTTCTGGTCTATTCGAGAATGGTTTAGATTCACAATTCGGTCTACTACAATTTTTTTTTTTTATTTCGAAGTTACCGAATTCAATTCGTATGTACAGGACGTCCGTGCGGTCGGCTGGTAAACATATATTTCCCGTTTTTCTTTTCGGATACTATTTGGTGTATTAATAAGTAATATTATACAAACCGTCACGTTATCTGACCCTTGGGATGAGTGATGTGCCATTTGTGGTCGACCGGTTCTAGTCTCAGACGTGACAGATGATGAACCTATCATCGTGTGGTACTCGGTGATATTTATTCGACCTTTGGAAAGAGACAATCGGCTGAGTTCGACTAAAAAATAAAACTACTAAATAAAGTGCCTCTCTGAAGAATAATTGTAGCATTAATGTTATATCTCGAGCCGCAGACATCGCCTTAGAACTGCTGCTATTGAAATAAAAAGAAAAGTTAATCATGATTAATAATAGTAAGGAATTTTTTAGCTTAACCGTAGAATTATACCTAAATTTTGTACTGTGTAGTCCGTATAACCAATGAAATGCACACTATTGACATTAAGATTTATACAGCATTGCTTTACAAGCGCGGCAATAAATGAACACACTACTAACACTACTTGCCAATAATCATAAACAAATATAAACGTTAAAAAAATCCATAATGAAAAAATTTTTACAAACAAACTAATTGAATGAAAAACAAACTAAATTTGCAACAAAATTTAATTTAATTTAATTAATTTAAAAAATGTAACATCCTATATAACTATAACTTACTGATTCATACAGACTGAGACTTTTTCATTCGTTTCCACAATGTCGCGTTACTAGTCTCTCCTTCTAACAATATGTTTTATCTCTTTTTTTTTAAAGTATATGTTTAATTATTTTTTAAAAAGTTATCCTTTATATGTGTGTTGATTTATGGTCGCATTAGTAGCGCCATGTTGTATATAAACTGTGATAAGATATTTACTAAGTGAATCAATGAATTTATGTAACGGTCTAAAACAGAACGATAATGAAATTGTCGCGAACTTCAACATAATTCCCATAGTATAGAGATGACAAAATTATTATTGTTTAAGATGGTTCGTCACAGAGGTCCCATAATATATATTTATTGTATACCAGTACTGTTGTATATCTGTAAATGGATCTGTTTGAAAGTTAAACAGCAAAACAAGTCAACACAAAATGAGCACTCGCATTATCTTGCCTTTAAAATACTTGAGGGATGAACGTAACTTTATATCAAACCAAAGTATTTAATACCGCGTCTAAATTAAAGGCTATATAAATACTACTTACGAAGCAAATCAACACTCGCTAGTGATGTTTTTGACAATGAATTTACAAGTAGCAATAAATATGCATGTTCTTGATCTGTTATATGCACACGTGTTGTAAATAAGTATTTTTTTAAAATAAACATATCGTTTGTACTACGCAACGAATAAAAGCTGAGAACCGATCTGCGATTTTTTTTCTCTCCCCGCCTTTTAAAATTAGTAGCAGGTTTTATATAGGCTTCGATGTTGTGCGGTATTTTTAAAGCTCTGCAACACCTGTAGATTGCAGACGTGTGGCATCTGCAATCTACAGATGTTGCAGATGTCCATGGGCGGTTATCACTAGATGGACCATCTAGGTAAGTAGACCGTTCCTGCAACAGAGGAGACTGTTGCTTGGCCCTATCACAAGTAATTTCTTTATCATAAATATATTGAAATAGTTTGTTTTATGTGCGCATTTATACATAGGCGTTGTGACGTGTGGGATTTATTCCATGTATGCAATTTTCTACGTTAGGATTATCTCTAGCTCTATGGCCTTATTTCTTGTGCGGTACTGTTTATGTTGCTTTTACCCGCTTATCAAGACAAAACAAATGTCACCTTATAATTTAAATACCGTAAGACAGATTAGGCCACGAAGCTTTACCGTCCGTACAAGTAACCGGCAAAATAGTGTGATGTAGTCTGGACCTCTAAAAGCACAATTTTAATCATCAAAAACTAACGATGGGTGACTCCCATCGCCTTACTGCAAGGCAATTTGTTATCGTATTTAAAAAAAATATTAATATCGTTCTATCTTACACGTGGGAAAGAATCAATTTGATGTTAAGCAAAGACATAATTAACGGATCGGTGAGCGATACCTCTTACTCCGGAAAAAATACGGTTCCTTTGCAAAAGGAAGTTAGTGACCATCAAAGCACGAAGTCTGGTATAGAATTCGCGGTTGGTTGGTAGTGTATATAGCTATATTTTTTTCTATCTTGTCAAACCAGACACTGGACAATATTATCGCGAGTCGCATAAGCGTTTTGCATGCAGATTGTTCAAGGATGGACAGCAGATTTGATCAAACTGAGCGACGATGGAGTGATACAGCAGGTTCTCCAAGGCGGCCGTTTAATTTTGCGAATGTCGCGATGTTATGCGCGAACGTTTCGCGAGCTTTGCGCACGCGCGTGCTACGAATTGTAATCGACAGCTTTTGTTCCGCTAACGCCACTGACACTGTGACGGGAACAGAGACACACTTTGTTCGAAACCAGCAGTGCCGGATTTGCTAAGCGTGGGGCCCATAGCAAATTCTTTCAAACAGCCCTTGATCTGCTAAGAGTTCTTAAGTATAAAGTGGTAAAAAAAATGAATACTTACTTAATAAGATTCACTAAAAAAATTTAGGCTCAGGCAGAAATGATAATAATATATAAAAATAATTAAATAGCGGGGCCCGTAGCAATTGCTACTTTTGCCACGTGGTTAATCCGGCATCCAGCATCGGGCTCTGAGATTTTGATACGAGATCCTTGACCAGGTATATATACACTTTCCTGAGCTCCATGTGTACAATTATACGCATGGACCGTACTAGACTTGTTGTCGTACAGACGAGATAGCAAAATTTGTTTTTTTTTGCAGATAAATTGTTGAAAACTTTTCGGCGCTACGGGACTCGTGCCCTATGGATTTTTTTTATGTGAAAAGTTGCCAAGCGAGCTGACGGTTCACCTGATGTTAAGTGAATACTGCCGCCCATGGACATCCGCTACACCCGAGGGTTGCAGATGCGTTGACAACCTTTTGAAAATTGGATAAGAGTGGAAACGGAACTAAGCGCAAATCTCGAGGTCGATCTACTTTTTTATCGTATTTTTTGCAATGATTGGTCCATCTAGTGTGCCCTATTTATAGTATTCAAACATTTCAAATAACGTTTTAATATGACCTGCTGGTCTTCCAAGGAAGCGATGGCTGGACGTCGTGAAGCAGGACATGAGAGCCAATGGGCTGACCTCTGAGGATGTTGAAGATCGAAGAAGTGGAGGAGATTGACATGGAACGTAGACTCCGGCAATAATATATATCGGGATAATGCCAGGTAGAAGAAAAAGTTTTACTATGAGTATACAGCGTGTCGTTACCATCGCGACAATAAATGAACACACATATAGGGAATAACTTTTTAAACATTTAAATTCTTTAAACATCAATATTTACAGAGTTATAAAATTTTCCAAAACAAAGAATTTTAGAACACCCTTACCTATAAAAGCGTAACGTAAAGTTCATTTGTAAAGGTCATGTTGTAAAGGTTGTTTTGTCAGGTTGTAATACGACGCTGTGGCGCCAGTTGTATAGGATATTACAAATTTTGTTTCTTTTTTACTTAATTAGTTTGTTTAAAAAATATTTTTTTTAAATTATGGATTTTGTTTAACGTTAATATTTTTTTATGATTAGCAAGGCAAGTAGCGTTAGACGTGTGTTCATTTATTGTCGCGATGGTAACGACACGCTGTATATGAACGAGAGATGTCAACTTTGGTGTTGAAATTTATGATTAATTTCATTTTAATGTTTATATAAGGATTCTCGATCATTTATCTACAAAAAAATCCCGTTCTACGTTTCACATTCAGTGCAGGGGCAGGGGCCCGAACTAAAAATAAAATTAATCATAAACGTTCTACTGTTAAAGTACATTGAAAGAAATTTAATCAAATACCGTGATAAATTTTTATAGTTTTACTGCAGTGTAATCTAACATACTTAATAAAAGTCTAATGTATATTTTCTTCCGTTCCTATCGTACTATGCAGTTTGCAATACATTTCGTAACACAACATTCGGCGTTAGCGATAGACAGTAAAGTTCGTTCAAAGCTTTACGATTATTCCCGCCTCTAATGAGACCGCATCCTTACTTCAAAGAGCCGCCGCCGCCGCTCGTGGAGGCGTCATAAAATGCAATCACTTTATTTATACGTCTTCATAGAGCGGCCATTGTACAATGGCGCATGTTGCTACGGCAGATAAAGGTAATGTCGCAACGAAAATTGCGAATGCGGAGACAAATTTGCGTACTTCCATGTCGCATTGGAGAAAAAAATATAGTATAGTAGGTAAAGTCCGTTGTGAATGACGTAAGTAATAAGTATTTCAGTTTGCCCGCCACTTACAAAATTTAGATTTTTGTTCTTATTAGTTTTGATGAGAAACGTTACTGGAACAGAAACTCTGCTCCTTTGAAAAACGAACGTACATATGTTGTTCTCATATATGACATTGCGAAAGTAACTACTTGATGTGGTTTGATATAAAGAATGGGCTTGCCTCACATTCTAAAATAAGCCTTTAATATAAACTCTGAGCCTGGAAATTAACGACTGAACGATAACTTCCGATAGAAAATATCATTATGGAACAACGACGCTAAGAGTAAAGTAACAGCCTGTACATGTCCCACTGCTGGGCAAAGACCTCCTCTATATGTAGGGTATCAGGGAATAGACCACCACGCGGCCCCACTGCGGATTGGCGGACTTCACATATCTTCGAAATATTTTTTTTTGTTATTATTTCGAAAATATGCAGGTTTCCTCACGATGTTTTCCTTCACCGCGGAGCACTTGATAAGACAGCACTTAAAGTTAAAAACTTCCTTGGTGCCGGCACCGGGGATCGAACTCAGGTTGCTCGACTATATTGAATTAAAGGCGAGCGCCCGGACACTGAGCTATCACGGCTCGTAAGTAAAGCCTATATATGTTCCACAGCTAGGCGAAGTCCTTCTCTGTGCAGAGGTTATTAGGGCATAGTCCACCACGCGATCCCAACTGCGGATTGGCAGTACTGACGCTCCTGTTGTGTTGTTGGGCAAATTCAAAAGTGAATGTTTCACACAATTTAAAATGTAAATAGGCGCAGTAATCAAAATCCATTAAAATCCCGCTGTGTGGCAACACTGAGCGCGGCGCATTGGTGCGTAGGGTTTTATTTATGCTTTATTGTTGTCTCAAAGGACTGTTGCCGCATGAAATGCACTTGAATCAATCAAAGCCTGTATGCACGTGCGATATCGAATACTAATAAACATTATGCGAAATATACAATAAAGATGAGCGATGGTAGAGCATTTGGCAATGCACAAATGAATTATGTTACATATGTATTAAGCAATAGATACCGACTGAAAACATCTTTAAAAGAAAGGAAAATTAATACAAAGTTTTAATACGTTTTTTACTTTTTACTAATTACGATTTTAAGTCTTGCTGTCCTAATATTTTCAATTATATTTTTATTTTTTCATTAATTTATTAAAATGATAGTTTTAATATCCATAAAAATAGTACAATTATTGTATTGACTTCACTTTAGAATGTTCTCTAATTGACATATGAATAACAATTATTGTACCCTGTACAAAGCATAGTTTAAAAGCCGAAAAAAAGGACCTACATAAAATACGTTGAGATTTTTTTGTTCGTGGCAATCAGCAGCATAGCTTAGTGGTTAAAGCGCCTGATTCTCGCGGCGGCGAAAAGCTTTTCTTTTTTTTCTACAAATTTCAATAGGTTGATTTAGTTCTTCCTTATCTCTAATCAATGGTTTTATCCAATATGTACTATAAGGATAAATTTCCCTATTGGCCTGGTAAATTGTTCTAAAAAGAAATAAGAAACTGTTACGTTAACACTATCACATCAAATGTGAGAGTGTTAGTTTCTCGTAATAGTTTGATCAATCCCATGCGTTTTCGACAAATTTTAGCAGAAATTAAGCTTAAGTTTAAAAAGTTATAAAGGAGATAGTTTCTTGTAATACGGTCGTGAACCATTTAAGTAAAAAATTTTTGAGAATCAAAAAAGTTTTAACTGAAAACTTAATACAAAATTTTACCGTATTAGATACTTTTAAATGCTGTGAAACTATCAAAAGCAATCCGAAACAACCAACAACTGGCTAGTTGCCATTAAGTTAAAAAATAAAGAACAGCATTTTCAAATGTTGTCTATGACGTTTAGGCCGGAAGCCTTCACCTGGGAGTTGGTCTCAGAACGCGCTAATGTCAATTTAATAAGTATGTGCCGCGGTGGCTCGTCTGTTGGGGCAGGCCGTTTTATTATATTGCTTGTAATGGGGCGCATTAAGGCGGTGCGGGAGGATTTAATAAGCGAGCGGCGAGGCGCGGGCGAATTTGAGGCGATCGCCGCGTTCGTTTCGCCCCAGGCGGCGCTAGTGTTGTGCCTGTGCTAAAGTGTCGATATGGGTTATGTTGATAAGCGAAACGCCATGTAAAGAAGTCGTTGAAAGCTTTCTCCGTTGATCATGTATTACAATGCAGCACAGCTGTGATGACTTTAATTTAACAGGGTAGACAGAAATATCTTGTAATATATATATAAGTATTGGTTGCGATAAAGTTTATGGTGATTCTACGAGAATCAAGTGTTGCCCTGTGAATGATAAGTGTGCGAGGAGTAAAGAGGGTGGGAGGTTCATTCGTACGTTGCATACTCTGCTCAGGTACACTTGGATTGTGTCTACACCCCCTGATTAGTTGAATGTTCGAAGTCAATGTCCATCTTTTGTTAAAAGAGGATGTTGACGAGGAGATGCGAAGGAACGGACGGCGTCATCTTGTCGTCGCGTGCACCAACTTGGCTGTTTTAGTGACGCCGCGTTTTTTCTGCTTGCGAATGTCTTCCGACGAAGCCCTTAAAGGCATCAGGTTAGCAGCAAATTTCTTCTTCAACGTAACATTAATTCTGGCTATTGCCAGGGTTTTCTTAATGCTAACAGATAACTACCGTTAAAATTAATATTGTATCAATTATCTTACCTGAGTAGCGCACTGCATAAGCTTGTAAGTGAGAGTTTGTTTATATATCACTTTTTCATTTACAAAAAAGTGTATGTAATGTTTAGCAAATGATATATTCCGACGAAGCCCTTAAAGGCATCAGGTTAGCAGCAAATTTCTTCTTCAACGTAACATTAATTCTGGCTATTGCCAGGGTTTTCTTAATGCTAACAGATAACTACCGTTAAAATTAATATTGTATCAATTATCTTACCTGAGTAGCGCACTGCATAAGCTTGTGAGTGAGAGTTTGTTTATATATCACTTTTTCATATACAAAAAAGTGTATGTAATGTTTAGCAAATGATATATGTTTCGCTTTTTTTAAGTGAATTTTTGACTCAGTTATCGTAACTGAGTTACGGTAACATTAGTAGATTAGTAATATTGTTCAGCAGTATGGGATTGGATTATGTCTTGGGTTAGACCCATCACATAACGATAGCACCAAGCAACCACTCAAAATAATTGCAACTATGTTCTTAATGCATGCACACTATGCAAACAATGCGGTTTTATGATCAATAGTCGACTGATGCAAACTGACTGCGCCTTATTCTGTGTATAATTAAATAAATATTTTAAACATTGTGTTCTTTTCATATCGATAAAACGTGCAAGGTACGACTCTAAAATGCCTCGTGTAATTTATATCCCATTCAGCGTACTCGCAACGATTATTATTATTGTTCTTCGAAAAACTACGCGAGGGCACATAATGTTTAAACGGTTACGGACTGCTTCGTCATTACATTGTCTCTGTTGAGATATCCACGTTGTTCTTGCGCCGAGGAACCTTAAAAACTTTTTAAAGTGTTTGTAATACTTTGACAAATGTATTCTTATTTTCATAGTATTAAAGGCGTCTAGCGAGCAGGCGGTTCATCTTTTTTTATTCCACATTAGTAATGGCACATTTATGTAGATTGTAGATAATTAGACATCGAATTAAGGTGATTGACTGGATTTCGACCATTAAGATTATTCTGATTCAATTAAAGGAGTTCAACCATCCTTTTGCCAACTTCAATAACATTTGAAAAGCCATTTGAAAGCTGATTAGGTTAGTTAAATTCTACGATGATCAATGTTTCAGAAACCGGGCGTTAACTTTAGAGAAACTTACTTGTACTCGTATTTTTGTTTATGTTTCGATAAGACTAAAAATAAAGGTCTTCTTCAATTATATTGGAATCCTAAGGCGCATTAATAATTCTATTTTTAATTGCAATTTTATGGTGATTTTGGATGCATTAAACTACAAATACATTTCTCACGAGTAACATTTTAGGTGAGATTTCCTAATAGTGAATAAACTGCATGTAAAGCTTTTTGAAAATCTTTTTACATAACTTTACAAGCCATTTATATAAAATATTGTATTATTGATGAGCAATTCCAATTAACAGATCAATGGTTAACAAATGATTTTGATTAATAAAACCATACAGACGCAACGAAATATTGGGTTATAGTTTAGAATATAAAAATTCGTGCGTTAATTAATTGAAAGGTTTAAAGCGATTACGACAGCAATAAAATTAAACTTCCATTCTCCAAGTTATTTCCTGTTCTACTTTTATAAAGCGCAATCACAAACGCCACTTTCTAACGAGGAGGATTGTCTTGGACGATATAGATTTAAGTGCGATCTTAACATTTATCAAGAAAAAAAAATATTTTACGGCTTCGTCACCTAGTAGCGTGCATATTATGTTTGTTGTCCATTACATGGTTTCCCATTTTAAAAATGTCCTACATCTATTAGTGTGACCCTGTACTTATAATTATAAATTTTATAGTATAATTTGCACATAAGTAGCGTTCTCTATAAACGCCTTAATAAATATTGTATAATTTTTGTCTATGACAACACCGGTAACTGTATAGAAGAATGAAACACAATGACGAGTCCAAAATAATTGTAAACTTATAAAATTACATTAAACTCTTATGTTAGCGATCCACAAGTTATTTGGACCCTAACAGACCCACAGGTCCGGACCCAGGCGTTAGTTTCAAAGGAGAGTTGACGTCACGCAGGCGACCGGTCGTAAAAATAAATACATAGCCAAAACCGCTTACCCGTAAAGTACTAACAGGACTCCCAAAGAATGAAGAATGAAAATTGATTAGAAAGCCTTACTTCATCAAGGCGGCGTAGATTCGGTCAAGCTACAAGAACGGCTTCCGAAGAAGCAACTCTGTAACGGACATATTCCCAGAACAGGTTATTGGTTTTATATAATCTGTACTACGATAGATAAATTATTCCTAGAAACAGTCGTTAGGATGCACTCAATATATAATTCACATTTTTAATGATTTATTTTTACGTAATTGGATAATTCGAGAGATGTCGCCATAGTAACCACATAATCTCTGCACGTAAGTTGTCTACATTAAAATTTGTATAAAAATTGATAAAAAGTTTTTCATTGCTGCTGGAACCCACGTCCTCTGGTTACGAGCCCTGACGCTCTAACCGCCAAGCTAAACGGCTGATTGCCTATAAAACGTAATTGCCACCTATAAGACTTCATTAAAATTTAACTTCTAATAAAAAGCGTATATCAACTGCGTAGTCTTCGAAACCGGACATCGAATGAATCATTCGATAATATACGGTTGAATATGTATATATTGATACAATGATTTACGGCCGGGTTCACACCAAACTTTTGTTACAATGATAATGAGAAATTAAAAATAGTACCGAGCGTCGCCATTCTGTCGCCTTCCTGTCCATCCTTTGATGTTTGATAAGCCTGAGGGAACTACGTGTCGTCAGTCATGTCACGTTCGCGTCAGCGACGCTAAGTAGTTATATTTTATCTGTGCACGCCTTTGGCGGGACGATAAACGAAAAGTCATGTCTGTGATTCCTCTTACTATTGCCCGCACCAATAATTTTATAAGTAAACGTAACATTTTTGGTTAAACTTTATGTAAAAAGTTGGCAAGCGAGCGTCGTAGCGTATACATGGTTTCCTTTAACCTGTTTTTCTGAAAAATATTTTAAATATATTCTGTCGCAACAATTACGGCTTTTATAAGTCATATAAATAGTTTTATAACAGACTCAACAGAAGTGGCTTTACCACAGTCAAATAATTTTTATGTCAGAAGGGAGCAAGCGAGCTAGCGGTTTAACTGATTCAAAGTGAGCAACGCCCCGGGTTGACTGGAAGAGAATGCCAAAAGGCAATAAATTCGCCCTTTGCAATCCTTACTTTAAGGTAATTGCAATAAAGAATAAATAAAAAATAAAAATTGATAACCACCGCCCATTGAAATTTGCAACGCCCCTAGGGTTGCAGACGCTTTGTCACCATTTAACAAAGTGCACCCCGGCTACCTCACTCACCAAGCAACGCAGAAGTATAATATTTCCACTTCACGCCGGTCTTCTGTGAGGTCGTGGTACATACCCGGATGGACCTGATCTTTCCTGCAACAGAGAAAACTGTTGAGTGGCCCATCCACTGTAAAATTCTGTGCCTTTTTAATCAAACTACTTTACAGTGACATTAAAATTGCATTCCATTAGTGTAAATTGATGATATCGCTACGAAGCTGTATTATATGAATGTAAACATGAATATATTAGTACATTTTTTACACAGCATTATTTCGTCTCAAACTACGGAAAGTTATGTTTATGTATTGAAATTTATATGTATTTAATGATTTTATGTAAAGTATGTTTGAGTAAAATATATTTCTATAGAATGTACCTTTGCTTTTTTTGTTTTCTTTTATTATTTTTCTTTAATTTATTTCACGTATTTTGTTTTGCACCTGCGTCAAACTTTCTCTACTCCCAAGGTTGACTGGAAGAGAATGCTTATTAGCATTAAGTTTGCCTTTTGTTTAGCCTTAAGTTGAGGTGAAAACAATAAATTTTTAAATAAATAAATAAAGTTTGTTCTACACGTTACTAGGTTACTCATAAACAAACTTAAACCCACAATTAAGGATATATAAACATTCAGACACTAGAAAAACACTATGTTTCTCACACAATACTTTTCCAACACTGGGGATCGAATCCACTGCCTTTGGCGCAAAAGTTGAATTCACTATCCGCTACGCCAAGAAACAGATTCACTATCCGCTACGCCGTTAATTGGATTTTTTTTTAAATATGTTTATATTTTAAAGAAAGATATTTATTTAAGGGTTTCAACGCGAGCGAAGCCGCGGTCGAAAAGCTAGTAATAGAATAAAGGAAACTGATTACTGCAGATCTCTTGGGAGAGAAACCGCTGACCTATCGGTAAAATTCGTCGACACCATAGTAATTTGTTACTTTAATTGAACGGGTAAGATACACCTGTGGCTTCAAGTCGGCGACCGTTTATTTTGTAAAGAAAAAAAAAGTACTATA